TTCATGGTGGGTCAATCCAATACATTGTTCTCTAACAATATAATCATGTATAAATTCTGACATCTCTATGTCCATGACAACTCGTTGTCATCAATCAATAACATTTTAGTCTTATGCGTATTATTATTGTCCATGCCCATAATAATACTTGACTATAGATCTTTTAATAATAATAATGTTATTATATGGACTTTATTATCTTTCAGTTAATGTTAACACAAACATATAACTGAAAAAAATAGTGGCAATGTCTTTATTCAATAAAATCGATAAATAAATATATTATTACAATCATCATATGATTGGTCTTAGGGCATACTCTAACAACTTTAACACTTCCTCTCAAGTTGGGGGTTGAAAAACATCTTTAACCCCAACTTAAACATTAATTTGTTGTGCTATTGTGATGTTGAGATCCTAAATATTTATTCATGATATTAGCAAACTGGTTGGTAGTTGATACGTGCTCTATTTGGATAAGCCTTTCTTGTATCTTTTCTCGAACAAAGTGATAGTCTGTTTCGATATGTTTTGTGCGCTCATGTTAAACATGATGACAACAATCTGTATTGTTACTTTACTATCACAATAAACCTTAATATGCCTCAAATCATGTACTTCCCGTTTCTTGTAGCAGCCCCTCCAACCATACTATTTCTGTAGTCACAATTGTCATGCTTCTGTATCATACTTATGCAGAGGATCTTGCCACGGTGTTTTTTCTTTGACTTCCACGAAATCAAAGAACCTCCCAATTTAATGCAAAAATTGGTGACAAAGCTTCTTGTCATTAGGCATGCTTCCCATTCTGAGTCACAATATACTACTAACTATTCTTCTGTATCTGCCTTCAACAACCACCCTTGCCCTAATTTTTTTTAATATACCTCACTATTCTTATTACAACCTCCATGTGTGACTGTTTTGGTTGTTGCATGACTTGGCTAAGATAATGCACAACAAATGTTACATCTGGTCTGGTATGTGTCAGATAGATTAATCTCTCAATTAACCTTTGATGACTTGTTTTATTTTCCAACAAAGCATCTTTAATTTGTGTTCCCTCGGTCAAACTAATATTCCACTGCCTAGAAGCTTGTTTCAGCCTACAAACCATCTTCTCCCCTGGGCTATAAAATCCTTGTGGTATCTCCATATAAATTTTCTCATTTAAATGCCCTTGTAAGAAGGCATTATGAACATCCATCTAACACAAATGCCATCGAAACCTTGCTGTAAGAGTAATAATATTTCATACTATTGCTATCTTTTCCACTGAAGAAAACGTATCTACAAAGTCAATCCTTTTTGCTGGTTGTATCCTTTGGCGACAAACCGAGCTTTATACCTCTCCACTTCTCCTGAGGCCCGATACTTCACTTTATAGACCCACTTACAATCGATAGGGAGCTTGCCTGGAGGCAAATGTACCTGCCCAAGTATTATTTGATTATAATGCAAAAATTTCCTCCCTCATAGCATTACCCCAAGCAGGATTTTTACTAGCTTCAGAAAAAGTAGTAGGTTCAGGAATATCTGTGGCAGAAAGATAAAGTTGTGTGTAAGGTGGTAAGTGAGAAAGAAAAAGAACTTGTCCTGAATATGAAGTTGATTTGTAGGAGCTAACAAAATTCTTAAGCTAAACATGTGGTTTTGAAGAACGAGAGGACCTAGGGGACACATTACATGGTGGAATAGGACAATCGATAGGATTGCTAATGGCATTTTGATGAGATCGAATATCATGATGAGAAGAACGAACATGATCACTAAGAGGGTTGTATGAACTTGAAACATCTACCAAAAGACAAGGAGAAGAAATAACAGGTGGAGAAGAAATAACATGAGAAGTGTCAAATGAATGAAACTCAGAATCTGGAATTTGAGGCTGAGAAGGGAAAAAAACCTTGAACCATTAGGAGTAGAATTATGAAAAGGAAAAATAGTTTCCCTAAAGGAAACATCACGATTAACAAAGAAGGATTTGGCTTCAATATTGAACAAAATGTACCCTTTTTGAGTGAGAGAATTTCCCATAAAAATTGAGGGAATAACTCTGGAAGCAAACTTGTCTTTTTTATTAGGTGTTGTGGCAAAACAGAGACAAATAAAAACTGAGTTTAGAAAAAAAATGTAACTTAAAACGAAGGTAACTTATTATAGAAAATCTCAAATGGAGTCTTTCAATTAAGAACAGAAGATGGTAAATGATTGATAAAATAGCAAGTTTTCAAAACACACTCTCCCCAAAATTTAACATGAACATTTGATTGAAACCTAAGGGCCCGAGCTACTTCCAACAAATATCGATGTTTACACTCAGCAATACCATTTTGTTGAAGGGTATGAACACATGTAATCTTGTGTAAAATGCAAAGAGAAGTGAATAAAGGACCACACTCAAAATAGAAGAACTCCCTTGTAATGCTCCAAAATTTGGTCAGTGACAAGTTTAATGGCTAAAATATAAATTTGGAAAAGTTTAGGGACTAAAAATTTAAATTTTTAAATATATATTTTTTGGATGTAAATAAATAGTTTAGTCAAAATCAATATTTTCATGGGAATCAGAATTTTGATTCAGGATCTGTATTAAAAGCTATAAAACAGTAAAGTCTCGTAAAAAAATCGGATAATCGGATTGAACCAGAATTTCAAGAAAATCCGAAGGATGGTAGATGAAGGTTGAAAATATTATTTCAATAACAAAATATCTCAAAAAAAAACCTGGTTACTGATACCATGTAAAAAAAATTATATACAAACTTCTAACAATTAACTACCTCAACAACTAAAAACTAACAATTGACTACCAGTTAACTTGTATAACAAACTTTAACATTCCTCCTCAAGTTGGAGGTTATAAAACATCTTTAACCCCCAACTTGAACATCAAGCTGTTGTGTTGCTGAGATCCCAAAGCTTTCGTCTTGATATCAACAAGCTGGTTGGTAGTTGACATGTGCCCTATTTGGATAGGCCCTTCTCGTATCTTTTTTTGAATAAAGTGACAGTCTATTTCAATATTTTTTTGTGTGCTCATGATAAACAAGATTGGTAGGAATATGTGTTGTTGCTTTATTGTCACAATAAAGCTTAACATGCCTCAAACATTCACTCTCATTTCTTGTAGCAGCCCTTCCAACCATAACATTTCTGCAGTCACGATTGTCGTGTTTCTGTATTCTGCCTCTGCAGACGATCTTGTCATGGTGTTTTGTTTCTTTGACTTCTACTAAATCAAAGAACCTCTCGTCTTAATGCAAAACCCGACGACAGTCCTTGTCATTGGGCATGCTGCCCAATCTGAGTCACAATATGCTACCAACTGTCCTTCTGTATATGTCTTTAACAGCAGCCCTTGGCCTGAATTTTTTTAATATACCTCACTTTTGTCATTGCAGCTTTGAAGATGAAGGGGAAGATGATTTTTTGATGTCGGACACGGCGGTGAGTGATGATTTCTTTGATGGTTTAGATGGACTCACCGACATGGTTACCAGAAATTGCCTTTCTGATCGTTTTCAGACAAGTTTTATTTTATCCTTCCTTGGATTGCCAACAATGCAGCTACTGCCGCCAGTGGCCTTTAAATAACGCCCTGGAACCGTAGCTTTTGATATGCTAGAATCTAACCCAACAACGCATTTATTTTAGTGCCTTGTAGGCTTCCATTAACGAGTCCATGAAAATAGTCTCCTGTTTCTGGTAAAGTTAGCTACAGAGTTGGGAGAAGTATTACTTTTAGGAATTTGTTTTTAGTATTTTTCTGATACAACTAAAGTGGGAAATTGATCACTAATTCATCAGCATCATTAACTCCTCGTTACCTTTCTTGTATAGCAAGTTTCTGATTTCTTTCATTTCCAGATGATGGGATCGAATTATCACACTAAATAATCCGATAACTAGAACTTTATCTCGCAGCCATTTTATGTAGTCGAGGCAGAAGCCTTGTTTCCTTGTTTGAAGCTTTTAAATTTTTTTCTAGTCACCAACCGCAGTAAAGACATTCTGTTAGAATCTCCATTTATAGGAGCATTATAGCAATACTAGGTCATGACAGACGCCACCTTGTTTAAACTTCAACAAAACACTGTCGGCATCATCCATCAGCCCGGCTTTGCAAAGACCATAGATCAAGTTATGGTAAATGGTAACATCAGCGGAGCATTCGCTTCTCAACATTTGATCAAACAGATCAATCCATTACAGAAAAGCAGTAATTAGAATAGCGTAAGTAACCACATTGCCTTTTACCATTGAGCTTCTTCCATTAACATCTCTACATCTCCCCTAGACCGATCAAAAGTGCATTGAAAGGAGGAGTTTCAAGGGGCGCGTGCAGTCTTAGCAATTCATTAGACAAATTGCAAGCTTGATTGAATTTCACCCTTCTACATAACTTAGAAATCAAATGGGTTAGCCAATTTGTATTTGGAAAAACACCATGCATCCCAAGTTGTAAAACCAACTTAATGAGTTCTCACTCGATCAAGTCCACTCCTCTTCTACTTCTATTCGACAACCCGTAAAAATTAATATCCCCGGTAACATCATCAGATGGAACATAGGATAATGGTTGAAGCATTTCATCGAGCACTTTGATGGCGAATTCAACGCGACCACCGATTTCTTGGAGTGGGATTTCGAGGAAGAGCTGAACTCATCCTCTTGCGGAGGCGGCGATGGTGGCGGAGATTAGCTCCGGCGAGGAGGTGACAGTGGAGGAGGTATTAAGACCGCTGGAGTTTAAGGAGACGGAGAAGGTAGTGTTCATTTTTCTTGCAGGCATGTTCAGTTTCCATCAGGGGTTAATATCACAAGTGATCATGAAAAGTCTTGGCATCCAGCGGCTGAAGTTTATGAAAAAGTCTAACAGAACAAGCTCAAACTCAAATCCACGTGTCGTTCCTTATGAGTTAAAATTCTATGTATCGTAGCCTTCACTATCCCGAAAATGTTGAAAATTCACGCGTCACCTTCCTTGATAACGCCCTCTTTTATGTAACTTGTCCTTCTCATCATCAATCTCCCCGACTCTCTCTCCACTCCGATCCGCCATTCTCCGCCGCTTTCGTCTTCACCGGACTTCAATTCGTGCACTCGTCACCATGTCTGTGTCCAAATCCGACGCCACTAGCCATTCAACGCCTGAACACGTCTCCGGAAACTGGTACTCGGTGCCGGACCTCCAACTCCGGGAACACCGATTTATGGTCCCCCTCGATTATAAAAATCGTGATGCTTCTTCGAAGATATCCATTTTCGCTCGCGAGGTCGTCGCGTGTAATCTTGCTTCTTCCCCTTGAACTTTAATTTAGGCAATCTTGTTTAATTTATTTGTTTTCTGAATAAATCACTGTTTGATTCACATCGTTTCAAAAAAACAATGTTGATATACCGAAGTGAAATCAACTGATTGTGTAAGTTTTTAAGTAACGCCTGACGCTGAATTGGATTTCAGTTGGGAAAGAAGAGCAGCCAATCCCATACCTTTTATTCCTTCAAGGAGGGCCTGGTTTTGAATGCCCTCGACCAACTGAAGGCAGTGGATGGATACTTAAAGCATGCGAAGAGTTTCGGGTTATATTGATGGATCAGGTATGGTTTCATTGAAAGATGATTATTTTATAACTCAGTGCTTGTTTATACTTTAAATCCTTGATGTTTTCCACTTTCAATGGCAGCGAGGAACAGGTTTATCGACCCCTTTGACTCCATCATCTATGCAGCAAATAAAGTCTGCCCAAAAGCTGGCTGATTACTTGACACATGTCCGAGCTGACAACATCTTCAACGACGCTGAATTCATCCGAGTTCGTCTCGTTCCTGAAGCTAAGCCTTGGACCGTTTTAGGTCAGGTGTTGTAGTTAAATCTCTGTTCTTGATGATTGTGCTTGTGCTTAATTACATTTTGCATATCACATGCTGTTATCTTATCCTTTGTTTTCTTGATTGTGTAGAGTTATGGTGGTTTTTGCGTAGTTACTTATCTGAATTTTGCACCCAAAGGTTTGAAACAAGTGCTTCTAACTGGAGGGATACCTCCAATTGGAAATGGATGTACTGCAGATTCTGTTTATAGAGCTTCCTTTGAACAGCTTATTCATCAGAATGAAAATACTATAAGAGGTTCCCTCAGGACATTGAAATTGTCCGAGATGTTGTTACCTTTCTGGCAGAATCCGAAGGAGGCGGGGTGATGGTCTTCCTCATTTGTTCTTGTTGTTCTACCTAAAAGCTAAATCGTATCTTAATCATTTATTCAAATTTCCTTGTTCGGCAGGTACAGCTTCCATCTGGGGGAATCTTAATCCCCAGGGGCTGTGTAACACCCCAACCCGTACCCGATCCAGCTACGAGTCCGAGATGTCACATTGACTTTTCAAAACCTTTACTTGAACAAAATAGTAAATAATTTTTAAAACTTTTACTAAATACAATTGACTAATTTACATAAATTAGTATCATATGATTTTACAAATCAATTAGAGCATATCAAATTCCAAAACTTTATTTACATGCCAACTACCTCTATATACCAATTACATATATTTTCTGATCTGAACTTTGTAAAGGAGATACTGACCTGTCTAGCTCCACATTGCTCTCTATATTCTTTTCGAACCTACGTGTGAAACAATCACACGCTAAGTCGATGACTTAGTGAGGCAAATAAAACATATAATAGAAATCATAAAACATTCCATATAACTAAACACATGAACATTTAATACTAACTTATCATACAAAATCATATAACAATTTCATACAAAATCACACACATCTTTTTATATAACAAATACACTCATGTACATATATCATCATCTACTTTCTTAGCATTATCATATATATTATTATCATTATTTATATCATTATCATCAAATTATTTATCACATGATCTTGTATTTATCATTTCTGCATATCATATAAAACATATATCATTTCACCTAGAAACACCCATAACATCATACAATTCATATAACACATTTCGTATAATCAAAAACATATCCATCATATATATATATATATATATATATATTGTATTTGTTATTGTTTCTTTATTAGCCCATGATACACTAGTGAGAATTAAAGATATTTGAGTGTATTGAGGTTGTGCACAAATGCTGTCACCACAGCTCGTATACATGCACCGAAGTGCCGCGTAGAATTACACCGTAGTGCTACGTAGAATTGCACCGTAGTGCCACGTAGAATTACACCGTAGTGCCATATAATAATGTCCATAAGGACCACATATCATTCCTTAAGAACCATATACATATGCCAAGGATCACATAGGTGTCTCAACAGACCCCATACATGTTCCAAAGAATACATATATATCTCGGAGGACCGTGTAGACCCTCGACTCTTGGCATGCCAACTATACCCCTAGCTCTCATGACACATAACATGGGCATTATCATTTATTTCATTTCATATTCATACATTCATATTACTTATCTCTTATCGCATGTCTGATCTCTTATAATCATGTAATCACATAGCTCATGTCATTTCTTGTGAAATCACACATATCATGTAATACATATAACTCCTATACTTTCTCATATATTCACATAGGTAATATCATAGGACTTATATCTTTTCATATGGTTTATGTTCTATTCTCTTATATTCACATACATGTAATACATATATCAAACATGTTTACATAAATCATTTCTATATAATTCACATGTACTTATATTTTTTTTCATATACTCACATAGTCATTTAATATAATATTTCATATGACCTCATATATCACATCACTTATATACATATCCAAATATTCATAGATACATATCACTTAAATTATTCCTATTTACATAATTTATGGTCATATAGTTCCTATCACAAGTCACTTATCTTATCTCTTCTTCTCATATGTTCATATTTATCATACAACACATAAGTTTTATTACATATTTATATCACATTCATATATCACTAATTCATAATATAATTTACATCGTATCATCTATCTTATTCTTTATTTCTTGGTATGCACTTATATTACATAACCTATATTATACTGATAAACATATATATTACTTCTATTATTTCTTTTATATACAAATTAATCAATTTACTTAATTCAATTTCATATAACTCCTATAATTTTCTCATATCACTCCATATTCAAGTTTCCTAATTGATACATTATTCTCATTTCATTCTATAACTCAATCTTATTTAGTTTCTTTCAATTCACATTAAATCATATAACGCTATTATACTAAATTCTCATAATTAATTATACCAATATGTACACTCATAATCCCATTATTCATATAACTTTTCCACTTAATTATCTAGTTTCTATCGTTTCTCATGGATTCACTTTCATCATATTCTTTTATATTTTTTCATATTTTATTTCATAATCCTATACTCCCTTTATCATATGATTTATGTAGGTTCTCTTATAACTCTTCATAAACATATATTTTCCATTCTATATATTATGTAGATCTTATCATATGACTTATTCTTTATACTTGCATAAATTATAACACATACAAGAACATATCAGCTCATATAATCAATCATACATACATTTCATGTCATTCGCCTACTTATAATCAACACTTCATGCATAATAAAACAACTATCAGAAATAGACTTATCACAAGTCCAATTTCCTTATAATCCTATAAAATAAGATGCACTCACATGGGCCTCACTAAGTTAATACCAATCTCTCATATTTCCCTTGATCGATCTTATTTTCCAAATGTTTCAGAACTGATTTATGCTCGGTATCTACACAAATATACAATTTAAGGTAATCTATCAAAATCTAACCTTATAACTTGATACTAATAGCTTAAACGACTTTAAGAAATCAACATTTCCATTTTCCTTTAGGGGTTTATCGATACCCTACTGGGAATATCGATACCCTCATGACATTCTAGAATTCTGCTCGTTTGAGAGGGTATCGGTACCCCTTTGAATGGGTATCGATTCCCCCTAGCCAGAAATCATTTTTGAGCTCGAAAATCCACTTGATTCAATTCAAACGCTTCATCTTTCATCCCCTTTCATATTCCTAACTTACATATACATACTTAAACTCATTAATATTCATTTATCTCATCTTTAACCTCAAAATTCCATCTTTCTTATGGAAATCAATAATCATACCAAAGTTTCCATGTTATCCAAACTTAATTATAACACTTCTAACTTCTTATTCTTATAGATGACAAGTCAAATTCATCCTCCAAATTCGTTTAAACCTTCTTATTCAAAATTTCACTTAAAACCATATTCTTTAATCTCTTCTAACATCTTCATCTTTGAGTTTTTACTTATCTTTAGACTTCCTTAAGCTTTCTTACTTTCCAAAGAATCAAAACCAACTTAGAATTCAAATAATAATCAACAAATAAAAATTCTCACCTTAGCTCTTGGCTTCCATGCGTGAAGAAGAAAGGAGAAGAACAAAACTCTGGAAACTCATTTCCCCTCATTCCCACTTTTTATATCCCTTAAAAGAGAAATAAAAATATTCTCTTAGAAAAGACCATAATACCCTTATTACTTTCAAACTTTACTATTAAATCCAACCTCAAAATTCTCCAATTAAAATTATGAACTTTTTAACTTATTTCGAAATTGAACACAATACTTTCAAAATTCACCTTTAAGTCACTAGCCCGATATTGATGATGTTACAAATCTCCCCTCCTTTAAAGAAAATTTGTCCTCGAATTTTCACTGTACATCTTGATAAGAACATATGTTCTAATGTTTTCATGTTGCTTCATTTACTTAATCTTTCGTGTCGCCATCAGAAAACTTACTTTTCATTCCTTTAGTTCTTCATCTACCTTCTTCCCTTATACATCCATATCATATCACTTATCAAGTATACACTAACTTCAGTTCTTATCACTTCAAATCATAAATCAATCAATTTACTCATCAATCTCTAATTGCCTTGCAATCATACTCCAACTTCATTCTATCATCACTTTACTGTCTCTTAACTTCTTTAATCATATAAATCATTCTTTGTTTCTCTGACTACTTCTACTTGACCAAGAAACATAACTTTAAATCTTCATTATAGATAATTAAAACATACATCTTGCAGAATCAAACAATCTTTCACATCCTCTGACAAACCTTTCTTACTTCTAATCAACTTATAATTTATACTTCAACATAACCTTTATCATATCTGATCCTTTAAACTCAATCATTTCATTTCCTTACTCAATTACTTTTCCCAAATTTAAAATCTTCTTATAGCGTAGGTCATATCTTTTCTTCAGACTCTCATACTCTTCTAGCTTCCTTTAGATACACAAATCTGTATCTTCTTAACTATACCACATTTACATTATCAGAATATACTACCATATCTAAATCCACATCAGACTTGATTGACTTAACCTTACATCTTTTCCAAATCTTACAACTTTATCACTTTTACTATTACAACTCATCAATAGCAACTGTTCAATCTAGGGCACAAGCCCTAATCAATCAATCAATTATATACATCATTTCTATTCGAAATTATCTCAACAATAATTTACGTAACTTATAAATCCACCTTTATTCTCATACACCATGCAATTTCCATTATTCATACTTAACATTCTAACTTCTTTATCGTATAAACTGATTAATGATGTATCCATTCTTAAATTCTTCTTATCAATCCTTAGCTTTACTCAAACATACAATTCCTCACTTCCTTCACTATATCACTTTACTATGATCACAGTATACAACTGTATCCAGATTCACTTCATATTTGGTTATCATATCCTGACAATATCTTAAAATCTTATAACTCCAATACATTTCATCACACAATCTTGTTAGTCAACGCTAACTCTTTCCATCTGGAATACAAACCTTTATCATATCCACAATCTTACTTATACACAATACTACCCATTTGATTCAAATCCATAACTCTGATTTCATTCATCTTATAAACATATCACTGATGCACTTATTCTTGAACTCTTTTACAATTCTAACCACATCATTCGATCCTTTAACGTTCTTATGGTGACACTTGTTCACCATATTCTAACTTGTCCACTTAGTAACGAAACTACTCAATTTAACTTCTCCTTTTGCAGAAATTAAAACCTTCTAATCATTATCTTCATATCATTTAACCCAAAGGTCTGTAACAACATAATCTTCCTCAAATCCACCCTTGAACTCGGGTGCTCTTAACTCTTTCAACTAATTCGATACATTCATTCTATGAGTTAAAGAAGTGGAAAATTGAAAACACATCAAAATATTATTCAACATCATGAAGAAATTTTCTAATCTTGTACAGGCATTCCCTGAGGTTTTTCGCTCTTCTCCCTGCCTGGACAGGGCAGGTGAATGCTATTACCTTCAGGTCTATCGCCTTGTGCTTCACTTTTGAAGCTCTCAATATCACACATCTAATATAATATAACTATTGAACTCTATTAACAAGACAGCACACTCCTTACCGTTCAGACCATAAACTTTTTCACTTCGTGTTGGCATGTACATTTAAAAAAAATATATTGTTGAATTCGATTTAAGCCTAGAATCGGCTAAACCATAGCTCTGATACTATTAAATGTAACACCCCCAACCCGTACTCGATCCCGATCCGGCTACGAGTCCGAGATGTCACATGACTTTTCAAAACCTTTACTTGAACAAAATAGTAAATAATTTTAAAACTTTTACTAAATACAATTGACTAATTTACATAAATTAGTATCATATGATTTTACAAACCAATTAGAGCATATCAAATTCCAAAACTTTATTTACATACTAACTACTTCTATATACCAATTACATATATTTTCTGATCTGAACTTTGTTAAGGAGATACTGACCTGTCTAGCTCCACATTGCTCTCTATATTCTTTTCGAACCTACTTGTGAAACAATCACACGCTAAGTCGATGACTTAGTGAGGCAAATAAAACATATAATAGAAATCATAAAACATTCCATATAACAAAACACTTGAACATTTAATACTAACTTATCATACATAATCATATAACAATTTCATACAAAATCACACATCTTTTTATATAACAAATACACTCATGTACATATATCATCATCTACTTTCTTAGCATTATCATATATATTATTATTATCATTATTTATATCATTATCATCAAATTATTTATCACATGATCTTGTATTTATCATTTCTGCATATCATATAAAACATATATCATTTCACCTAGAAACACCCATAACATCATACAATTCATATAACGCATTTCGTACAATCAAAAACATATCCATCATATATATATATATTGTATTTGTTATTGTTTCTTTATTAGCCCATGATACACTAGTGAGAACTAAAGATATTTGAGTGCATTGAGGTTGTGCACAAATGATGTCACCACAGCTCGTATACATGCACCGAAGTGCCGCGTAGAATTGCACCGTAGTGCCACGTAGAATTGTACCGTAGTGCCATATAATAATGTCCATAAGGACCACATATCATTCCTTAAGAACCATATACATATGCCAAGGATCACATAGGTGTCTCAACAGACCCCATACATGTTCCAAAGAATACATATATGTCCCGAATGACCGCGTAGACCCTCGACTCTTGGCATGCCAACTATACCCCTAGCTCTCATGACACATAACATGGGCATTATCATTTATTTCATTTCATATTCACACATTCATATTACTTATCTCTTATCGCATGTCTGATCTCTTATAATCATGTAATCACATAGCTCATGTCATTTCTTGTGATCTCACACATATAATGTAATATATATAACTCCTATACTTTCTCATATATTCACATAGGTAATATCATAGGACTTATATCTTTTCATATGGTTTATGTTCTATTCTCTTATATTCACATACATGTAATACATATCAAACATGTTTACATAAATCATTTCTATATAATTCACATGTACTTATATTCTTTTTCATTTACTCACATAGTCATTTAATATAATATTTCATATGACCTCATATATCACATCACTTATATACATATCCAAATATTCATAGATACATATCACTTAAATTATTCCTATTTACATAATTTATGGTCATATAGTTCCTATCACAAGCCACTTATCTTATCTCTTCTTCTCATATGTTCATATTTATCATACAACACATAAGTTTTATTACATATTTATATCACATTCATATATCACTAATTCATAATATAATTTACATCGCATCATCTATCTTATTCTTTATTTCTTGGTATGCACTTATATTACATAACCTATATTATACTGACAAACATATATATTACTTATATTATTTATTTTATATACAAATTAATCAATTTGCTTAATTCAATTTCATATAACTCCTATAATTTTCTCATATCACTCCATATTCAAGTTTCCTAATTGATACATTATTCTCATTTCATTCTATAACTCAATCTTATTTAGTTTCTTTCAATTCACATTAAATCATATAACACTATTATATTAAATTCTCATAATTAATTATACCACTATGTACACTCATAATCCCATTATTCATATAACTTTTCCACATAATTACCTAGTTTCTATCGTTTCTCGTGGATTCACTTTCATCATATTCTTTTATTTTTTGCATATTTTATTTCATAATCCTATACTCCCTTTATCATATGATTTATGTAGGTTCTCTTATAACTCTTCATAAACATATATTTTTTCATTCTATATATTACGTAGATCTTATCATATGACTTATTCTTTATACTTACATAAATTATAACACATACAAGAACATATCAGCTCATATAATCAATCATACATACATTTCATGTCATTCGCCTACTTATAATCAACACTTCATGCATAATAAAACAACTATCAGAAATAGACTTATCACAAGTCCAATTTCCTTATAATCCTATAAAATAAGATGCACTCACCTGGGCCTCACTAAGTTAATACCGATCTCTCATATTTCCCTTGATCGATCTTATTTTCCAAATGTTCCGGAACTGATTTATGCTCTGTATCTACACAAATATACAATTTAAGGCAATCTATCAAAATCTAACCTTATAACTTGATACTAATAGCTTAAACGACTTTAAGAAATCAACATTTCCATTTTCCTTTAGGGGGTATCGATACCCTACTGGGGGTATCGATACCCTCATGACATTCTGGAATTCTGCTCGTTTGAGAGGGTATCGGTACCCCTTTGAATGGGTACCGATTCCCCCTAGCCCATAAATCATTTTTGAGCTCAAAAATCCACTTGATTCAATTCAAACGCTTCATCTTTCATCCCTTTTCATATTTCTAACTTACATATACATACTTAAACTCATTAATATTCATTTATCTCATCTTTAACCTCAAAATTCCATCTTTCTTATGGAAATCAATAATCATACCAAAGTTTCCATGTTATCCAAACTTAATTATAACACTTTTAACTTCTTATTCTTATAGATGACAAGTCAAAATTCATCCTCCAAATTCGTTTAAACCTTCTTATTCAAAATTTCACTTAAAAGCCCATATTCTTTAATCTCTTCTAACATCTTCATCTTTGAGTTTTTACTTATGTTTAGACTTCCTTAAGCTTTCTTACTTTCCAAAGAATCAAAACCAACTTAGAATTCAAATAATAATCAACAAATAAAAATTCTCACCTTAGCTCTTGGCTTCCATGCGTGAAGAAGAAAGGAGAAGAAGAAAACTCTGGAAACTCATTTCCCCTCATTCCCACTTTTTTATATCCCTTAAAAGAGAAATAAAAATCTTCTCTTAGAAAAAACCATAATACCCTTATTACTTTCAAACTTTACTATTAAATCCAACCTCAAAATTCTCCAATTAAAATTCTGAACTTTTTAACTTATTTCGAAATTGAACACAATACTTTCAAAATTCACCTTTAAGTCACTAGCCCGATATTGAGGATGTTACAGGCTGCAATTTCTTGGTCTATCCGGTTTGATCAAGCGCAGGTTTTGAACGATTGCATTATCAGTAAGACATCGTAATTCATACGTTTTAGTTACATCCTTCAGAACTTGTAACCTAATGTCGTGCAACATATTATATTTTAGTTTTCATGTTTCAGGTTTGAGAGGGTCTGGGATCCAATTTTAGTTCCAGGAGCACCTAAGCAGATGAGCTCTTACTTTTTAAATGATGTAAGGAAAACCAGTTTTCCATTATTGATCACAATTTGAGGTTCTATCTAATGGATATATCTAAATTGATTTACACGCAGTATGAAACATGGGTGTCTTTTGGTACAAATCCACTTTATGCAATTCTCCATGAGTCAATTTACTGTCGGGTAAGCTTCCATGTTCTATAGACTGTTGCTTTCTTGTGTGTTTAATGGAATAGTTTGTAAAGTTGAGCATGACCTCTAAGAATTGGAAAAGAATGTGATAATGTTTTTGGTTGCTGGTTAAACAATTTTCACCTACCGAAATCTTGACAAGTCGGCTTAGCTTAAGTTGCAAATGCACATTTATTCAGACAAGCTAATCCGTTGTATCAATTAGGTTGCTATTTGAACTTTATCCTAATTATGTTGTGTTCTAAAGGGTGCTGCGTCGCTGTGGTCTGCTCACAGAGTAAGGGCTGACCATGATAACAAGTTCGATGCAATCAAGGCTGCAAAAGAAGGACGTTCCGTACTTTTTACGGGGGAGGTAATACTATAGTACTTTCTAGATGACTATAACTACGAACTTACATTAAAACATTTAAGTTTATTTGATAAATAATCAGTAGGTTTGAAGTGAAGATCTGTCAGCAAGCTCAAACCTATTTTTTGTGAAAACCCGGTTACTTTTGTGATTTAGTTTCAAATAAGTTAAAACCCAGCAGATTCTCCGAGACATAGGAGATATTTGTCTACCTTTCTATCATCTACATCCTTTCATAACAGAGTGAAGCTCCATTGCTTGCTTGTTTCAACTTCCTGGCATCCCTGCCTCGAGAGGCAATGCTGTTCATTGCCTGCACTGTAGATATCTTGGTCAGTTTTAGAGACTAGCACTGACATATCGGATACCTCGACTCCCGTGTATTTAGGAAACAAAATAGCTGTTGAGGTAATAATTATATGTTATTGCGAGTCTTTCTTATTTTCTAAATAATGTCAAACATTTAAACCTTTTCTAAGTTGATGCATAAGTTTAAGTGAACATTGTATCCCCTTGCATTTCGAAGAATCAGAGCGGTGATGATATTATAAAATCGAATATTTATCTTGAAGGCAAATCTTCTACGACTGTTATGGCTCTGGACAATTAATGTGTAGTTTGTGGCCTACAAATCAACTTTCCAGAGTGCAGTTTTCTGCCATGGTTTTTGTCAATGAAATTAAGCTGCTGGTTGATGCATGTGATTTTAAATTTATGCAGATGATATTTCCATGGATGTACGATGAAAGTGAATCTTTGAGGCCTTTCAAAGAGGCCACAAATATATTGGCTGAGAAGGAAGATTGCCCTCTGATAACCGTCGTTTTGCCATCAAAATAATTTCTGGCTTCTTAATAAATAAAAATGAAAATGTAGTATAGAGAAGCAGGGTCGATCCACAGGAATTATGGTATTTCTGATTTAATAAAATTATTTCTTGATTTTAGAAAAAAATAGAATTCCAGATGAAGTTGAAAAGATATATTAAAATAAAATAAATAAAAAAAGAAAAATAATATAATAATAAATATTAATAGTAATAAATATAAAAGGGGGATTTTTTTAACAGTTGTGGTTAAAATAAAAAATAAGAATTAAATAAAAGAAAAAAATAATTAAATAAACAAATTAAAGAGATTAAGATAAAAGAGAAACTTATTATGAAAGCAGCCTCAGGCTTCAGCTTCCCCTCAAATTCCTCGGATCATCGAAACAAATTTTTACTTCAAGATTCACGTAAGCTTACAAGAACAATACTTCGCTGTCAACTCGGATTGTGTCGTTTCAACAACAACTGATTCCGATCTCAGTTTCCTCTTAGCAAATAATTTTGCTAAGTGTGTTATCGGGAAGTTGAATATGCTTCAATAAGCAAATCCTTCTTCAAACATTAACCATAACAATATCCGAACAAATGTAGAAATAGTTTTGATTTGAAAAGTAAGCTTCAGAAAACAGAGAGAAAATCCGAAGCGATTTAAGTGCCTTACAATTCTCACGTTTGGAATTGAGCCGTCGCTTTAGTCTTCGGCTTGAAAGAAAATTAGCTAAGCATAACCAAAGCCATACTTAGCATAATAGAAAAGTATACGAAAAATAGAGAGAAAGCTAGAGAGAAAAAGAAGATTTTATTCTCAAATGAGAGAAATATGATTCTAGGCTCACCCTTAGAGGGTATTTATAGCCTTCAAAATCCTAAAAACAAGCTAAAACATCTTAAATTCTAATTAAAACACTTAAAACTATTTAAACTAAAATACCTAAAAAATAATATAATATTCTAAATCCTAATTAAAATACTAAAACCTATTTAAACTAAAATACAAAGATAAAGATAAAATATAAAAATAATATCCTAAAACTTAATTAAAATACTAAAAGCCTATTTAAACTAAAATACAAAGATAAAATATAATGTTTAAAATATTATCATAAATTTGAGTTTAATCCAAATCCGAATTCCAGCCAGCTTTGATTCCGAAAATAAAAAATCTGCAGAATTGTGTCATTTTTGTGCAATTTCCATAATCTTACGTCCTGTACAGAAAATGAATTAAAATGAATAAATAAGCCACAAAAATCAATGATTAAAGAGTAATTTAAAAGTAAAATATTAACTAAATTAAACACTTATCAAATTCCCCCTCACTTATTCAATGCTTGTTCTCAAGCATTCTTCAATTAACATATCAAAATCATAAGTTGTCATCTTTAATTTTAATTTATTCCTCAAACTTCCAATCAAATTAAGTCAATGACATTTGCCGAATTCAAGTTACAATCAAGCAAAGACATAACCAAGAAAATTTAAAGTAGGCAAGATATCTCAATTAATTGCCAACTTCAATGAAACATAACTCAATACCTTACAAAGATTCACACATATCCGCTCAAAGTGTTTGGGGGGCTTGGAATCCAATCAAGTCTCCACCACGAAAAATGAACATAATGCAATAATAATGAGGTCTTTAAACAAGGTGTAACGGGGCTTAGGTTAGGGTAGGGAAAAGCCGAAAAGAAAGATTTAAAATACCGAAACAAGGTGAAGCAATCGATTTTTTCCTTCCTTTTTTTGAACAAAGGGTCTTTTTTTTGCTTTTCGATACAGTGAACAACTTGTTTTTTTTTAAACATTGAATTTTTTTTTCCTGGAACAACAATGAACAAGATCTCAAGTCTCGGTAAGGGTGTGAAAAGAGAGGAAAAAAAGGCTTCGGGTTTAATTATGAGGTGTAAAAACAAAGAAAGAGAAATATGCTCAAATGTGGTTCACTAGTGGATATATAAATGGGTAGGTTTTTTGGGAAAAGTGGGTTTATCCTAGGTGTCCCTATTACATTAAAACATTACGTTCAACATGTAGTCTTGATATGCATTGTGATTACAAGTTCTAGAATATCCTAATTAGTTCGGCACACACAAGTCAAACAATGAGCAAGAAAGAAATTGTATGCTCGTTAAACTCAAATCTCACAATAAAAGTTTATATGCATTGAGTCAAGTTCATCTCTATTGACAAAAGCATGAAATGTCAATACCAACAAAAAAATTCACTAGCTATATCAATCACCAATCATGCAAATTAAATTTGATAAAAAAACATGGTCATTATCCAAAAGGAATCAATAGTATAAAGCGAAATTCAAGACTAGCAACCAACGATTACAATATATCAACATCAGAATAACTCAATTTCAAACGATTAAACAAGTCAATAAAAATTTGACACATGCTTATACTTCCCCCCTCACTTATTCCGTGTTGTCTCAAAACGTATATCAAATTTAAAAACAAAGAGAGGAAAAAAAAAGAATAATCCCCAATCTAGTGGCGATCACGGCCACGTCGAGACGAGCTGTTGTAGAGTAGATTGTCCGATGATGCACTGTTATGTTCGAACTTTTCTGCACAGTTCGAACCAAATCTATTTTTTTTCTGCACTGCATTGTTTGAATCTGCTGTGTATTTTTCTGCACTGTTCGAACCAAATCAGTTTTTTCTGCACTGTTCTGTTCGAATTTTTTTGCACAGTTCGAACCAAGTCAGTTTTTCTGCACTGTTTTTTTCGTTAAATATTCGAGCAGAATTCAGATATGTTCAGAAAAAATAAAATTAATCAAAATAGAATAAATAGAATGAAATAAAGTTCGCTAAAAAATAAAAAAATAAAATGAAAATAAAAAAAATAAAAACAAAAATATAACAAAATGGGTTGCCTCCCATCAAGCGCTTTTGTTTAACGTCGTTAGCTCGACGACCTGATTTTCAAAGCGTGGGTTCCTCTAAATTGATTTCTTCAATTAGACCAACCAGAGCATTTTCATAACTTCAATCTTTGACCATTAACTTTAAATTGTACTCCTGAGTTGTCTTCAATTTCAACAGTACCGTGAGGAAATACTTGAGTAACTGTAAACGGTCCGAGCCATTTTGAGTTTTCTTGCAAAAAGTTTAAATTTGGAGTTAAATAATAAAACCTTTTGACCGACAAAAAAGTTTTTTAAAAAATTCTACTATTGTGAAATTCTTTTGTTTTTTCTTTAAATATCCGAGCATTATCATAGGCATTTCTTCGGATTTCCTCAAGTTCTTGAATGTGTAATTTCCGAGCTTCACCAATTGCATCCATGTCCATGTTACATTGTTTAACGGCCCAATAAGCCTGATGTTCTAACTCGACCGGTAAATGACATGGTTTACCGAAAACAAGCCGGTATGGTGACATCCCAATGGGACCTTTATAAGCAGTTCGATATGCCCAAAGTGCATCGGCTAATTTTAAACTCCAATCGTTTCGGTCCGGTTTAACAATTTTCTCAAGAATTGTTTTAATTTCTCGATTTGAAACTTCTGTCTGTCCATTTGTTTGTGGATGGTAAGCGGTAGCAATTCTTTGAGTTACTCCAAATTTCTTCATTAGCAACTCGATTACTCGGTTGATGAAATGTGTTCCTCTGTCGTTTATTATAGGCCGTGGCGTGCCAAACCTGGAAAAAATATTTTTCAAAAAATTAACTGTAGTTTTAACATCATTATTTTGAGTGGCTTTAGCTTCCACCCATTTAGAAATATAATCCACAGCTAAAATAATATAAGTATTTCCAAATGACGAAGTAAAATGACTCATATAGTCGATTCCCCAAACATCAAAAATTTCACAAACTTGTATAGAATTAAGTGACATTTCATTCCTACGGCTTAAATTACCTGTACGTTGACATCTTTCACAAGTTTTACAAAATATATAAGAATCCCAAAAGATGTTAGGCCAATAGAAATCGCATTCATGAATTTTATGAGCTGTACGTTTTGGCCCAAAATGACCACCGCAAGAGTAAGAATGACAAAATTATAAAATTAAGTTTAACTCACTTTCGGCAATACATCGTCGAATTACCTGATCCGAGCAGTGCTTCCATAGATAAGGATCGTCCCAAATATAGTATCGAGATTCTCGCTTAATTCGATTGATTTCAACTCTCGTCAAATCTAATGGTAACTTACATGTGGCCAAATAATTAACCATGTCTGCAAACCATGGAGTTATGCTTTGCGCCACCATCAGTTTTTATTCAAGAAATTCTTCTTTAAGTGGTGGTTCGGAT